AGATCACACCTTCTACAAGATCATTGTCGGTGATTTTAATGCCAAGATAGGACCAAGAAGATCAGTCGATGAACTCCACATCGGAACCCATGGCCTGGAATGGAACGAACAGGGTGACAGACTGTCTGAGTTCATCATGTCAACCAAAACCTTCCATGGTAACTCACAATTCCAAAAGGCTGAATCTAAATGTTGGACATGGGAGTCTCCCGATGGACGGTTCCACAATGAAATAGACCACATCATATTCAATCAGCGGTTTTGCCTAACCGATGTTGCTGTTGTCCCAAAATTCCAAACGGGATCAGACCACCGTCTTCTTCGTGCAAAATTCTACCTCACAGAACGAGGAGAAAAGAATGCAAGGTTTAAGAAGAGGACTCCCAGAACAACCACCAACTGGGAACTCTTTGGCTCTGTTGCGGCAACATGGGAAGATGCCGTCATTGACAACATTGATGAGGAATACGATCGAATGATTCAGCACCTCCATGATTGTGCAAGGAATACCAAGAGAGAGATAACCACAAAAAACCGTCTTTCTTCGAACACTCTTGAACTTATTCGCCAACGTGGCTTGGCACGTGCCTCAGGCAACCACAAGCAAACGTCCGAACTGGCAAAACAGTGCAGAAAAGCCATCAAGGATGACCTCAAAAACAGGAGAGCAGCAGTACTGGTAGATGCATAAGAAGCTGGGAAAAACATTCGTAATGCCCGCCTGTCCTTCACCAACTACAAAACCAAGATGACTGCCCTCCGACATCATGATGGATCTATCACATCTTCCAGAAGGGCAATGGAGAAGATTATTCATGACTTCTACTCAGATCTCTTTAATAGCCACATCCACTTGCCCACATACCACATACCACATGATGGATATGTCGTTCCCAATGTTCTCCCTTCCGAAATCCAACATGCCATCTCGTCAGTAAAGAAACAAAAAGCACCTGGCCCAGACAAGATCAGACCTGAACACCTGAAGAACTTACCATCAGTACTCATCAATACATTGGCTCGACTCTTCACACGCTACCTGTCTGAATGCAAGGTTCCATCCCAATGGAAAACCAGCAAGACTGTACTACTATACAAGAAAGGAGACATCCACGACATTGGCAACTATCGCCCAATCTGCCTATTGTCTGTCATCTACAAACTATTCACTCGAGTCATCCTGAATAGGATTAGCAGAACACTAGATGAAGGACAACCATGTGAACAAGCTGGATTCCGAAAAGGATTCAGTACCATTGACCATATCCACACAATAACCAAGCTCATTGAGGTATCTCGGGAGTTCAAGATGCCGCTCTGTCTAACGTTCATTGATTTAAAGAAGGCCTTTGATTCTGTTGAGACAGAAGCGGTCATGGAAGCCCTAGCCAATCAGGGCGTACAAACTCAATACATCAGGATCCTTCGTGAGCTCTATTGCGGATTCACTACCAAGATCTCACCATTCTACAAAGATGTAATCATCCATATCAAGAGAGGGGTTCGGCAGGGTGATACCATTTCACCAAAACTCTTCAGTGCCACCCTCGAGAACGTCATGCGACGACTAGAATGGGAAAACATGGGAGTGACGATAGATGGTCGGCAACTACACCACCTCCGCTTTGCTGATGACATCGTTCTAATAACACCAAACATCAGCCAAGCGGCACAAATGCTGGCGGACTTTAACCGTGAGTGTGGAAAGGTAGGACTACAGCTGAATCTTACGAAGACAATGTTTATGAGAAACAGCCTTGTTCCTGACGCTCCATTCGCTCTCAACGGAACCACCATCTCCGAATGCAACAGTTATATATACCTAGGTCGAGAAATCAACATGATGAATGACCTGGCACCTGAGTTGCGCAGGAGGAAGAGAGCGGCTTGGAATGCCTTCAAGAGCATTGAAGAAATAACTAAAAGGACAAAGAACCTCCAGCTACGAGCACATCTCTTTGATTCCACTATTCTTCCTGCATTAACATATGCCTCAGAGACCTGGACCCTACGAAAACAGGATGAGAACGCTATACGGGTCTCTCAAAGAGGAATCGAAAGAACTATGCTTGGAATATCACGATTCACTCAAATGAGAGATAGAATCCGGAGTTCTGATCTTCGTCAACGCTCAAGAATCAGGGACGCTGTCTCATTTGCCAAGACATCAAAAATCAGATGGGCTGGACACGTAATGAGGTTTACAGACAACCGCTGGACTAGAGCCATTACTGATTGGATTCCACGAGACATCAAAAGATCACGTGGACGGTCACCTATAAGATGGTCAGACTTCTTCGTCAAGACCCTAAATGATCGGTTTGAGGCTCTACATGTTCCTAAAACGAACAGATACCATTGGGCTACGCTAGCATGCAACCGGGATGAATGGAGACGTTACTGGCACCCGCTCGAATAAATCGATGAATAACGGGGATTAAGTGATTAAGTGATTAAGTACTAAGATTTATTTTATGCTTACAGTGCTGCTACACCACGCCTACCATCTGCATGCTAAAATCCACCACTGTTACTACAAGTTCCCTTTTTTCTGTGCAGTTTCAGATTGCAGTTCTTTTGGCTATATCCCGGGGGTTCTTTCTATTGGGGTTATCTATGCTCTTATTTGCTTGCTTTACATTCTCCATAAGAGCAAAGTCACCTGGTATTTGTTTTTTTTTCTTTATTTCTTTTTATTATCAACTCACTTCACTTAGCATAACTTTCTCCAATTCCATTCACCTTTCAGGCAACATGCAAAATTTCTTTTTTTTTTTCAGGTAGCATTCAGTTGTGTGTATATATCATAATTGCTTTATACACTCATCTATTGTGAGGCATTTGTGTGGGGGTGGATCCTGACTAGTGTAAATAATACTGAATTTAGACATACATATATCCTGTTTGGGGGCAGTGGGGGGAGGTTGTTTGTTGTTTGGGGGCCACACCTGGCAGTGCTCAGAGCTTACTCCTGGCTCTGTACTCAGGGATGAAACCCAGGTCAGCCAAGTGCAGTGCGAGCACCCTAAGCACTGTGCTATCTCTATGGCCCTGTTGTTGTGTTCCTGGGATTGGTGCTCAGTAGTAAAATCACAAGGTCAAGTGGAAGCTCTATTCTTATTTTGTTGGAGGTCTCCATATCATTTTCCAAAGATATTAAGCCAGGAAACAGTCCCACCAGAAGTGAATAATTGCTCCCTTTTCACCACATCCACCTCAGCACTTGAAGAACATTTTGACTGGCATAAGGTCATATATCATTGCATTTTGATTTTGATTTCCCTGATAATTAATTTTTATATGCCCTTTGACCATTCTTATATTGTCTTTGGGAAATATCTGTTCATCTCTTTTTCTGATGGGGTAATTATTTCTTGTTAAATTTTGAGGGAGCTTTATCTTGATATCAGCCCTTTGTCTGATATAAGACTTGCAAATATTTTTACCTAATCATTAGGATTATGTTATTTAAGGCCTTTTGTAGGACAGAAGTTTTTTCATACGGTAGCACTTTTTGTTTGTTTGCTTTTGTTTCTGTTTTCTTTGCCAGTAGTGTTGTATTTTGACGACTACTAAATTGAGGATCTTGGGAAGTCCCGCCTATGTTTTCCTCGGTGCATTTTATATAAACAGATATAATAACAAGGTCTTTTATTTCATTTTTGTATTATGTTTGTTCAGGCTGGAGTGATAGCACAGCGGTAGGGCATTTGCCTTGCGCGCAGCCAGCCCGGCCGAGCAGGGTTCGATTCCTCCACCCCTCTCGGAGAGCCTGGCAAGCTACCAGAGTATTCAATATGCCAAACACAGTAACAAGAAGTCTCACAATGGAGACGTTACTGGGCCCGCTCGAGCAAATCAATGAATAGCGGGAGACAGTGTTTGTTTGTTTTATTATGTTTGTTTATTATATGAGAGAGGAACACCACTCACTCATCCTGCACGCGGCTATTTTTCCCAGTACCATTTTTTTTTAGAGGATTGCTTTGTTCTGCTTAATGTATCTGGACCCTTTGTTGAAAATGAACTGACCATGCATATGAGGATCTATATCTGGCTTCTCAATTTTATTCCATTCTTCTGAGAACTTGTTTTTGTTCTTGTACCACTACGTTTTGATTACAACAATTTTGTAGAATAGATTCAAATCAGGGATTATAATGTCTAATTTCTCTCTCCTTTTCTCTCCTCTCTCTCTCTCTTTCTCTCTCTCTCTCTCCCCCTTTCTCCCCCTCTCTCCCTCTCCCCCCTCCTTGTTTTTCTCAAGATTGCTATGCCTATTTTAGCAATCTTAACTATTTTTATAGTCCCATACAAATTTTAGAATTATTTATTCTGTGTCCTTGAAAAATACTTTGGGAATTTTGAGAATCAAGTACATAAAACCTCTTTAATCTCTCAGGTAAGGATTTCAAAGTGACAGTGGTTAGGCTCTTTTCTGAAGGAAGCTACAGAGAGTGTCTCAGTAAGGAAAGAGAAAATATAAGAGAACCTATAACTAGAGATTACCAACCTGAAGAGATTAATTCCTCATTTCAATAATTTCATTTAATGTCAGTTGCCTTAATTTACCAATCAAAAATGAGTAGATGTTTTGAAAACTAAGTACATGCTTTGCATGTAGCGGACCCATGTTTGATCCCCAGTAACACACATGTCTCCCCTCCCCAAGCACTGCTAGGAACAACCAATCCCCAAACACAGAGTAACCCCTAAGAACCACATGTGTGGTCCAAATCTCAGCCCCCTACATACACAGACACACACAAATTTTATCTTATTAGCAAGAATAAAGTTAAATTAAACCACCCCTGGTGTTGAATCAAAAAACTGAAGTTTACATATCTGACTTTTCATAGTGCTAAACTGTCTGGCACTTAGTAAAAATAAATTGGTCAAATCATTCTATAATAGGATGCGCTCCTTTCCATTGATCACAGATTTTAAGAAAGACTTTATTGTAACAGAAATGTTTTCTCCATCTTCTGGTTTATTCACAGTAAACAGATCCGAACTATGTTGGGCCAGTTCAGCCAGGCAGAAGACCTATTAATGACAGCTGGAGTACAGCCAGGAACTTTGGATGGAGTTCTTTTGGATCTTGGGTGTTCCTCTATGCAACTTGATGATCCTGAAAGAGGTTTTTCCCTTCGGAAGGATGGTCCTTTGGACATGAGAATGGATGGTGGCAGGTGAGTATTGATATTTATTCCTCCTCACAATAAGAAATCAATTTCTCAAAAACACTTCAAATTCAATTTCCTTTCAAGACTTAAAATTCCCATCACACTCCCACACCTAACACTATCCATACATAATAAATCAGGTTTGTTTGTTACTCATTATACACTTTAGTGTTTTTCTGTATTTGGAATTCTAAAAGGAAAATAAGTGCTGTCTTACACAAAATAGTAAAGAAGATATTTTTCATATGGATTATCTTTTATAATGCATAAAAATAAACTATTATAATACTGACAACTGGAAAATGTATAACTAATATAATTGGTACATTTTTATACAGGTCCAGCTATTTTTTTTGTGAGAAGTAAAATAAATCATATTAAATACATGCTCTTTTAATATTGTTTGACAGGAAAGATCCTAAAGGTCAGCAAATGGTGTGCTTTCTTCTATTTGTTATACAGTGTCTTTGTTGCAGCCTTCTCAGAGAAACTGCAATTTTATGTGCTGCACCAGTCCATATAGGTCAACTTTTGAATTGGGCGTGTTTTGTTTGGAACCACCCCAGCTGTACTCAAGGCTTTCTCCTGGCTCTGTGCTTAGGGATCACTTCTGATGGGGTTCAGGACTATACAGGGTGCCAGTGATTAAACCTGCCTCTGCCACATGAAAGGCATGTGCCCTACACATCATATTATCTCTCTAACCCCAATATAGGGCAGCTTTATATCTAATTTTTATTCCTTACCATTCTGGAAGTGCTAGTTTTGTTTACCACCATTCATATAATTGTGTATGTATATGTATATCTATATATTTATGTAGGTAGATATTTTCTTTGTATGAATGCATATATTATATATAAGTATGCAAAGGGAAACACATTCTAGAAAGGTATATGATGACTTCTGTTTTTTTTTACTTCCCTCCCTCACAACTCTCTATAATTCTCTCAACAAAAATGACCTTATGATGACTTATTTATTTTATTTTAGAAGGGGCCATATCCCTACTAGTGCCCAGGTTACACTCCCAACGGAACCCCAGGAAACATACTTGGGTAGTGATCAACCCTAGGCATTGGGCATGCACACTAGCCTATTATCTTCCTGCTCCAGCAAAATTTTCTTTTAAATCTGAGTTAATTTTAAAATCTTAGATTAGCACTAATTTCCCTAACCAACCTGGAGATGGATATTCTGTACCAAAAATCATTACTATGCTTTCTTTTCTTCTAATTTCATGTCCTAATCACAGGTACCAAATTATTTACCCTGGAATTGACCTTTGAATAGCTTACCTTCTAAGAAAAATATTGTTCTCATTATAACCTTTTACCCATGTTGTCATATGACCTGTTAACCTTGGTTCTGACCTACACTTAAAACTTTTTTGTTCATGTTTCCTGTACCATCTCTTGCATCAGTGACATTCATAGGACAAAAAAAGTGATCATAAAAGGAAATACTCTTTAAAATCCTTGTAAAATGAGTGACTAATAGTAAAAGTCAATATATATTCTCATGTTTGGAGATTAATGTTATGTAGAGGTCAAGTAAATTTTTGCTCTTCCTATACTTGCCAAGAAAAATGTCTTCTGAAATACAATGAGTAAACTTCAATATTAATAGTAGTAAACTTCCATATTATTAATATAAAGAATTACCAGCTAATTATAGTCTATAAATCAGAATTAGATTAGATTCTCCACTGAGAATTTGAAAATAAGATCTCCCTTAAGAAATAAACTCTTACATCAATATATGACGAATAAGATGGCGTAGCTGAGAAAATAAATCTTAAAAAAGCTTCAGATAGCTGATATAGATTGTAATCTAATCAAAGATGCTAACAGAGTTGGAAAAAATAAAAGTGGTATTTAGAAGAGGGGAACAAGTTCATATGAATACATAGAAAAAAGAGAATTTAATGCAAACTATATTTACTGCTGAGTATATTGTAGAGAGGGAATCCCAAAACTATAAAAATTTAAAAAATATAGTTTAAGTATGACTGATCAGGGACCGAGTTAGGGCATGTGACTTGGATTTGATTCCTAGCACCACTTGGTTCCAGATCATTGCTGCATATGCAACCCTGAAGTCCCTGGAGAAAATCCAGGGACTTTGCTCTCCCCCAACACCCCAACACCACAGGTCCCAAACAGCATTGCATCCTCATGTCCTGGCACTGAATCCGTGGCCCATGAAAGTTGTCCATGACCTCAGGACCTCTGAGAACTGTTTTCATATGCTCCCCTTCCCCCACCCACACATGCGCAATGCTGATCACGTCCTGGTGACTGGTACAGCATGGTGAAGACAGAGACAGAACGCTTTCTTTACCTATTGCCACTTGACACTGCTATCTTAGAGCATAGTTATTCTGTGCCTTCTCAATTTCAGCAGAGCTCTCAGATTATAATGAGGGGTTCTCGTATCATAGATAAAAATTCACAGCTTCAAAAGCTTTAATTATTTCTGCACTGGAAGGTAATAAATAAATCACTACTTTGTTAATATTTTCTTTATCTTTTAAATGCGGTTACTGTAATTAGTGATTTCTGAAAGACTGCGATGATTTTTTTTGACCTGTTAAGTCGGGAGTGACACCTAATGTTTGTGCTCTTCATTATATGATTGCTGTTTGGAAACCTAATAATAGCGTGCCAGGTTTCCAGAGTGTTACTCTTTTGCCTTGTAGCACTGTAGAAACTCCTATATTGCTATCCAGTGTTTCCATGACGGGAAAATGAAAGTTTGACCATTGTCCACTGCACTAGTTTTCTTACTTCAAAGTAGAAACATGTAATTAAAAAATTGTGAGTGTCTCCATTCCAATCTTAGAATTATCCTGTACAACTAGACCATGTTCTGTAGACTGAATTTACCACTTTTAACTCAATTTACTCTATGTTCAGGTCATGATTTCACTGTCACTGTCCTCCCGTTGTTCATCAATATGCTCAAGCAGGCCCAGTAACGTCTCCATTGTGACAATTGTTACTGTGTTTGGCATATCGAATAAGTCACGTGTAGCTTGCCAGGCTTTGCTGTGCGGGCGAGATACTCTGGGTAGCTTACCGGGCTCTCGGAGAGGGTGGAGGAATTCATATTGGCCGCTTGCAAGGCAAACACCCCACCCTCTGTGCTATCGCTCCAGCCCAGTTCATGATTTAGGAAGTTGAATTCACAACTAGGGAAGTTCTCTTGGGGTCTTTCTCAATTATTGGGCTTCTTAGTGGAAATACATTTGTATGCATCCTTAATTACATGACCCTTAATTTTCCCAGTAATATTTTTTAGATAAACATTATTACTTTCATTGCACAGATTTGAAATTGTGTGTTCAGTAGGCTAAAAAACTAACCCAGTATGTGTAACAAGATCAAGATTCTAATCTAGATCCATCTGATTCTAAAGACCAACTTTTTGGCCTTAGAGCTATTATAAGATTTCCAGTCGTATGGGAGTTAGTCATGACAGTAATTTAATAAAACTGAAAATCATGGGATCTGAAAGTCAATGTGTATGTGTGTCTGAGATAGAGAGAGTGAGTGAGAGACAGACAGACAGAGACAGAGAGACAGAGAGACTGAGACAGAGAGAGACAGAGAGGAAGTCCTTGAGTAGTAAGCAGAGAACTTGTCAATGACAAAAGAATTTTCTACTGGAGACTGATAGTACTATTGGTGTTAACAAGGTGAGAGCTATTATTTCTAAGGAGGGATTTAGGTGTTTCTTGTCAAGAACACTCTGGTTTGAGTTTAATTACCACATCTTTGTTATTCCAGATCCTCAGAGCAGTGCAATGATCATTAATCTAACATATTAACTACTCACTGTAGTATTAGTACAACTGTCTTTCCAGTAAGTAAGATCTTACTTAGTTTATCACTTAATCACTTAAAATTTCTAACCATTTTTTTTTATGCAGGTAAATTGGAATCGTTTACCAAACTGTTGTTTCCAACTATTGTGATTTATTAGATTTGACTAGAAGTTGATATTTGTCTATACCTGAAATTTTCACTTAGATTCATAAAATATTGTCTTTTGATTACCAAGTTTTAGCCCAAATATGGTCTTTTGACATGGGGAAAATATTGGTACTGTTACAACACATGAAATACACATTATGGTCATTCAGATTGCTCCAATTTTTTGTAAAGAAAACTGACCAGAGGTATTTTATGAGACTCTAAGTTCAATTTGTACATCCATATAAAGAAGTTAATTTACAGTCTCAGATTTAATTAAATTCCTGAGATCTAGGCTCATTTAAAAGTCAGTCAGTAAGAGTTATATCTCTTTCACTGGAAAAAAAATTGAACAGTGATTTAAATTTTGAACAGCAAAACCCAATATTTTCTACTAGTTTGGGGGAAATCAGAAGGAACAATAATAGCTATTTTGAAAATTAAAGCTAAATAAAATATTTTGCCTTATGCTGCCCATAACTCTGATAACTGTTGCACTTAGTCCCAATGTCAGTGGGTGTTTGAAATGGAAAACCTGTTCATTTGTGTAAGAAGAAGATTTCTATCTTCAGTTTTATAAACCTCAGGAGCTCTTTTAGACCATATGTTTAGACTTGAAGTTTTACCTCTTATCAATGAAAACTGACCTCAATAAGCTATTTGGCTCTTTGTGTGTGTGTAGGTACCCTGACATGCCCACTGCAGCCGATGTTGTGAATGCTTTAGATCACCAGGCTCTTACATCCATCCTAAGAACATATGGGGAGGAGAAGCATGCTAAGAAAATCGCTTCAGCAATCATTCAGGCACGCAGCATCTACCCCATCACTAGAACCCAGCAGCTTGCCAGCATTGTTGCAGGTATCCTCATTAATTCTGAACAGTGTCTGCGGGGGGGGGGGGGGGGGGATATAATATGTGATCTATTATATATGGTATATTATATACATTAGTTGCATTATCTATGTGTATTAACCTTCTCAAACTCCCATTGATGATTGTACTTTAAATTATGCAGAGTAGAGTCTTGCCTACCTTTTGCTCACTCCAGCTATCTTTGGGGTTTTGCAGATTTCTCTCCTACACATTTCTCTCTGACATGGATTTTTAAAACTTTTATTTAAAAATATAATGTAGTTTCTGATTAATTTTATGTAGTTTCCTGATTAATTTAATAATATTTTGTTGTTTTCTTTTGTTTTTTTTGGCATGAGATAAATTATTACTTGTGCCTACTGAGGTGAAACATGAAAATATAAGAGCAGAGAAATTTTGTTGATCATCACAGTGGTTGATAAGCTTCCTGTATAAGATCTGACATTACCTCGGTTAGTTTCACATTTCTGCATTTTAATATTTTGGGCAAAAGGAGAATTGCATTGCCCAAATGCTAAAATAAAATCCTGTGACTCATACATCTATTCTAAACAACCAGCTAACAAAGGATATGTGATGTATAGGTTATTCCACTTTGTGCATGCTAACTAAATTAGCCTGAGGGGCTTATTGAAACATTTCATCTTTTCTGCTGTTCACCACCATAAACCTCTTGAACCTAAGTCTAGCTAGGAGGTGCTTCATTATACTTTATTATAGCCTTTCTGTTTGAAGCCAAAGTTGTTTCACAGCTGTGTTCCATGATGAGCGCTTTCTAAAGCAAAAATACAACCCCTGTAAGTTGTTTAACAGAATTCTAATGATAACCTCTTTGTCTTGTTGAACCATCTGAAACACTACATCATTCTTATTTGCCAAACATGTTAAGATTCCTTTTCATTTGTTCCTATTAGGTCGTTCAAATGCTAAAGACATTAAGGGGAAAAGAAGAATATTTGTGTGGTTTTTAAAACAAACCTGATATTTATTTCCTCTATCTTATAACTGCCCAGAGTTTAAGGAACATAATTTAATTATAAATTTACTCAGACCAAGATTCAGAGATCACATAGTAATCATCTTATGACATAATTTAATATATTCTAGTTAGGATAATTAAAATATAAAGAATTGACTGAGTCTTTAATTTTTAAACATCATACATACCTCCAGGCTCTTCTTACCACTAAAATTCCTTTAGGCAAGTAAGAACACAGTTCTTGTGGGTTGTATGAGTATTATTTATTCCGTGGTTATTTTTGACCCTAAAAGAGTTGATATTGTTTGCTGACCTTAAATTTAGTCTGTCTCCTGCTTTTTCTTCCCATTCTATGCACACTAAAACATCTCTACTTATCTTTCTGTCATTTTTTTTTCATTAGCTGTGTGTTTTGTTCTGTCTTTTATATTGGAGAAAAAAATGTGAGAAGTCACATTTTTTACTCATATGAAAATTCAGAATTTTCTGGTGCTGAAAATGAGATCTCAGGGCTAGAGATCATCCTAGACATCCTCTAGTCAAAATCTTTCATCTGATAACCGAAGAAACTGAGGCTCTGGAAAGGTCAGCAATTTACTTGGGATCACTGACTCATCAGTAGCAAAGTCAATACTAATGTAGAATTGGAAAGTTCATGAATTAGAGACATGATTAGGAATCTGTCTTTAAGAAATTGACTTCTCTGTCTCGGGATCTTTATATGTGAACCTGAAGAAATAGCCTGTTAGCATTAGATAAAAATGATATAAAGATAGCAAATAAGTATTTTCATGAAGATCATGATACAAAACACTGAAAAGAGTAAAGTGCAAAAATTCATACATGTATAGGTACAAATTCACTTTAGTAAACGCCATTAAAAGATTCACTTCTGGATAATGAATCTATTTCAGTGCTTCAAATCATCCCAACATAGTATTTACTACTTTATCATTGATGATGTGACTTGTTGAAAGAAGGAAATTGGGAGGTGGTGGGAGGGAACGGTTCTGTTTTGTGTTTTGTGTTTATGAATCCAGAAAATATTTTGGGAGGAGTTGCTCCATGCCAGGCACTTGTAGTAAATCCTAAAGGTAGAATGAGGAAGGGATCCGGTACTGCCTCTGTCATTCAGGAAGTTTACCGACTAAAAGACTAAAAAAAAAATGGTATAATAAATTACTTCTATAATTGAATTCCTCTTATTTATTGTGGTCTGAAGTCATTATTGTGTGGCCAATAGAAAGAGCAGATACAAGTGGAGAATTACAGAGCCTATGTACAGCTTAGGTCCTTTATAAAGTACATTCTTTTGGGAGTGGGGGCACAAAATAAATACCAACTCTTTTTCCACAGGGAATATCATTTTATATGTATCTTATTACATTGATAATGGAAGTAAATATCAACTGGCAGTAAAATTTCAATAAAATATAAAAAATAACAGAAAAGTTGCTCTGAGATATCCACAGTAACATCAGTGTTTAAATTTCATTTCATCATGTTCAGTGTGTTCCCATTTGTATAGATGCAAAAGGAGTAAAGGTTTACATATAGTAACTAATGAAAAGAGAGTGGCTGATGTTTGTTCCATGCCCAGTAGTGTTCAGAAAGTACTTACTTTGTGATAAGGTGTGACTCCTCAGCAAACTATATATGGTGCCTGATATCAAACAGTGGTTGGCGTAGGCAAAGGAAGACCTTAACCCATGTACTCTCTCTCCTGCAGAATAAAGCCTGTTCTTATTTAAACTACACCCATGGTGTATCTTCTGCAAGCCCTGATTATATTTTATTGAAATGAAGTGAGAATTTGAAGGTTATTATAAAGTCTGAATGACTAGATTTTTTAGACTCATTAGTTTTAAGGGCTGGAGCGATAGCATAGCGAGTAGGGCGTCTGCCTTGCACGCAGCCAACATGGCCAACCCGAGTTCGATTCCTCCACCCCTCTCGGAGAGCCCGGCAAGCTACCGAGAGTATTCGATATGCCAGACACAGTAACAACAAAGTCTCCAATGGAGACGTTACTGGGCCCGCTCGAGCAAATCGATGATCAACGGGAGGGCCTTTTACTTTACTATTAGTTTTAAGTCTTTTATAATTATCTAACCCACATTTAATTTGATTGCATTTTTATGTGATCTATCAAGAATCTCCAAAGTGTCCCATTTAAGTTTTCATGTAAATAGGAATTACCTTTCCTTTTACATTCATATTTTAACGTTTTATATAATGTTTGATTCAACTATTGATAGTGATAGTGACTCCTCTGGGTTTTACATCTGTCACTCTTTTTATGGAATCAGGATTGTATAGAAATTCTATAGATTAAAATGTTATCCTCAGACAGTTTTTAGCATATGAATTTTCATTGTGGGAACATTGTTTTGTAACCTTTCATATATGATTGGGGCACAGTTTTATAGTTTAACAACTTTTTAAATACTACATCCTCACTACCAAAGATTTCCTCTCCATCGTCATACAGTTTACCCTTTTCACACATATCCTAGCCCCATCCCCTCTATCTTTTCTCTGTACATAATAGACAATTTGTTGTGTACAAAGAATGGAATTGATCTGTCAAGTTCATTAAATATAAATCTTGACTTCATAAAAAAAATATAGGAAGCAACAGAAGGTCCAGGAAAGTTCTTATATCAATTTCCTGGTGCTGCTATAACAGTGTATCATAAATTTAATCTTAAACAGTAAAAATATATATTCTTTCATAGTTCTGGAGCCTTATAAGTTCTAAATCAAAATGTCAAAGAAGGTTTAGGTCAGAATATTACCTTGACTATTTCTGGCTTATAACACCAAAAATTCTTGTACATGCAGCTCTAAAGTGTCTCTCTTCATTGTCTTATGGAGAATTCTCCCTGAAAATCTAGTATCTTTGGAACCAAGTTTCCCAGTTAGTGGAATATCACTAAGTCATATTGGATTTAGGGACTACCCTATTCTAGTGTGTTCTTATTTGATTGTGTTTGCAATGTCTATATTTCTGAATATGATCACATTCAAAGTTTCAAAAATGTTATAGGATACTATTTAAATCAGTATAGTTTCTAAGTAATAACTGTATTTGTCAGAAATTTATTTTGACAAATAGAATATATATTGGGTACATATGAAAGTTTTATTTGATTCTAATGAACACATATTAAATTTGTTCATGAATATTAATACCCTTGGAAATATGCATCATAGTGCCTGATGTATAATCAAAGCCATGTATTAATGCAAATATAAACCACTTTGTTAAACTTATAATCTGAAATAAAGAAGAACACCACTTACAATCACAGTATACTTAATGGAAGTCTATAATAATTCAAATAATTTACTGCAATCTATAAAACATAAAACATAAAGCTCAATACCACTTGCTATTACATATAGCTATACTTCTAATATTCTTCCAAATCCTGGGAACTCCAGAAGACAGGTTTGAACCTCCAAGTGAGAACAGACTACTTGTAACTACCATGAATTATTTTGCAAATTACCAAATCATGAAGTTGTACAATAATTTTCCAAACAACAAATTTGGAATAATTTCCAATACAAATTCATGTTCATATACACTATTCATACTAATCAGATATTTCAATATAAATATGTAGGACATGTGCCATGTGATTATGGCATATCAGTGTTCCCTCCAGAAATGAATTATAAGTAATTGTTTAAGTATAGTTTTCATTCTACTACAAGAGTTCAATTCATGAAATGTGCAAGTTGAAAATGCCTTGAGGGACTCATTATATCCAGAACTAGATTCATCAATCTAATAAATTGTTATCTAGTTTATACCTTTTCCTCTCCATCTCTCTGTTTTCCCATTGTGTTTTACTGAAGAGAGTACATTTCAGATCCAGTGCAACTTTCATGAAGCACACCTCAAGGAGGTATTCCTTGATGGAAAGACTAAAATTCTTTACATGGTTTATAAAGCTCGTCCTATACTGGTCACTCCTGTCTTTATTTTCATCTTTCT